CCTGATTTTTATTTTAGGGGTGAGATTTCCCAAATGATCTTTCCCCTGATTTCTTTATCAACATTTGGGTGGTGGCAGCGGAAGTTTTATTCCCAAAATCTAGGTTTTTAAGATTTTGGGGGAAGTTTTATACCAAAGCCTGGTAGATAAGGCTTTGGGGTACACTTGCTGGCCCCCACTTCTGCATTTATCATGCCAGAGTGGGGAAGGAGCCAGGACAAGAGCTATGCCAGGCACTGGCTGCCCTGCGAGGGGGATGTTCGGTCCTCTCCTGAAGGCTGATTTCCTCACTTCACTCCCCTACGCAGTTGGAGGGGGCCAGGACTTGCTGCTCGTTCTTTCTAGGCCGTTTCCTTGGTCACTGGGGGCTCCTGGAGCCGGAGGGGGCTGGGGGTGCAGGGAGGGTCACCCAGAGGGGCAGAGAGGAAGCCAGTGGGAGCAGCCCATTTAGCAGTTACAATTTTGGTGGCGGTGTAAGGGGTGGTGCATCTCCCAAGTGCTACCACGAGTCGCCTGTGTTTGTCACAATCATCCCAAACCCACGGACTCCCTCCAGCCCGCCTGGGCATAGAATGGCACTCCTCTGCAACTCCCAGGATTGGCTCATTCGCCTTCAACACGCACGCCTCTTAGGGGCTGCGAGGCCTACAGGGGGGCTTACTTCTGAACGCGGGTTGGACGGGGCTTTAAATTCAACACTGTGCCTTCCTGTTACTCCTCAGCCCATGGAACTAGCACTGCAGGACAGAGCAGAAAAGGTGAGCTCTCCGGCTTTACTGTCAAGTCCAACTACTCCTGTTTCTGCCAGTGGCCAACTTCAGCTGTTGCAGAGGAAAATACAAAGAGCTTGCATAGGGAGAGGTCAGATCTCACCCTGATCTCTAACAACAGCTCAAGCCCTGAGGCACGAGGCTTGATATCCCTTCCAAAATATTTACCATTCATCATTACCAGGGCTCGCCGAGTGGTGGAGAGCCCCGCTCGCCAGCCGTGTGGTTCTGCGCTCTGTGCATGCTCAGATTCTTCTGTGCATGTGCCGATCGCTCTGCACCGGCTCTTCCAGGGTGTAATCTACTTGCCACAGGCGAGTAGATTACATTGTTTGTCGAGCCCTGATCATTACAGCTCAGGATATTCTTAATATCTACGTAAGCCTCCAATCCCTTTTTTGAGCTAGCTACATTCTTGGTCTCAGCAGCTTCCAGTGGCAGTGAGTTCCACAGTCCAACTATACAGGTGGAAAAAGCACTGCCTTTTATCCGTGTGTGTCTGCCACCTGTTAGTTTCACTGAATACGCCCTTGTTCTTGTGCTACGAGACAGGAAGAACAAAAGCTTGATCTGTCTTCTGTAGACTGTTCATTATATACTTTTATTACACCCCTGATACCAGCCAACCACAGGATACAGACACTGGAGGTGAACTTGGTGAAATGACTTAGGTCAATTAATTCTGTCTCGCTGCCTCATCTCCCATTTTAGTCAGTCTGATTTTGCTGCCATCGATGTAATTGAAAATGACGACACTGATTTTACTCTGAGCAGGCAGAGGCCCTTTGAAGCAAGTGCTGTCGTGGTCATCTTGATTCAGCCCACAAACTCTACCCTGGCGACCAGAAGGAGTTGATCATTCATATTTCATCCTCTGCAGAATAAGAAGCAGCTTGCTAACAACCTTGCCAGCGTACAGATAAAAGCAGACAGGTTTTAGCTTGTCTCGGAACGAATCTCCTTTGAAACATTCAACAGCCTTCTGCCAGTAGCTTAAATAATTTCGCTCGTTCTATTTCTCTTGACCAGTGTGCAAACCGCAGGGGTTTGTGGGATTTTCGTTATTCCTGATCACACGGAAACAGTGATGCTAAATGGACTGATGACCCAGGCTCAGTGGTTAGTTCTGAAAGGTTTTTTTTCCCGCTTTTACTCCAGTCTGAGGTACTTGTTAGACTTCCCCCAAAACTGCAGCGTGAAATGCTCATCTCCAAGTCTCTGGAAGAATGACATGGACAGAAGGTGGCTCAAATGGAGGGCAGCGCAAGTGATACGTGCTTTGAAGAATCTAGGTTCTGACCAGCGGTGAAGGTGAGTCAGTAAATGGCGATGATTGCGTTAAGCCTTCCAAATTTAGGAACTGGAGTAATACAGTTCACAGAGGTTTCTTTTGCCATGATAGCAGTAGGTAAGTGCTTGGGATTGCGTCATTCCAAAGATTAGTTTGTCCTCTGCTACTGTGATGCAAAGGGAACATAGAAGACAATCGCCACCCTATGGGGCATTCCCCCACTGTTGGGGGATTCCTGGGGCGGGGGGCAAGAGGCTGTCTAGTTGGCTGCATGCTAATCACCCTCACAGTCTCCAGCAATGCACTGGAAGGAGCACACTGCTGCTGTACAGCCTGAGCAACTTAGAACAGCCCAGAAGCTGCTCTAAAGTAACACCGGATGACGCACCGGAACTTGGATGAGAAACCTCAGCCTGGCTGGCCCCCTCTTCAATGAGCCAGGAAGGCAGCTTAGGTCTACATTTCTCACCCACCTAAACTCAAAGAGTCAGGTACACATGGGACATGGTTTCAGGGAAGTCAGTGGGGGGGGAAGGAAAGATCTAAATTCGAGAAACACCTCAGGGTTTGTTTCAGGAGCAGGAGGAGACGGAAGGTTCTCAAAATAAGCCTTATAGAGCATAGAACTAGCGTTGTGCTCTTGTGTCTGGCTTGTCTTACATTCCTAGCCACGGCCAGGAGATAAAGACCTTGTATTGCTCATGTATATGAGCCTAAGCAACAGGTGATCCCTCCCTTTTCCTCACAAGCTCAAACAAATTACATTCAAGTCTCCATCTTCTCCCGCCTTTAACTCTGCAAATATTTCTGGTCCTATAAAGCAAGCAGCGATAACCCAGATATACTGGCCTTAGAAAAGGTTCAGAGAAGGGCAACTAAAATGATTAGGGACTTAGAATGAGTCCCATATGAGGAGAGATTAGAGAGACAGGGACTCTTTAGCTTGGAAAAGAGGAGACTAAGGGGGGATAGGATAGAGGTCTATAAAATCATGAGTGGTGTGGAGAAAGTGAATAAGGAAAAGTTATTTACTTGTTCCCATAATATAAGAACTAGGGGCCACCAAATGAAACTAATGGGCAGCAGGTTTAAAACAAATAAAAGGAAGTTCTTCTTCACACAGCACATAGTCAATCTGTGGAACTCCTTGCCTGAGGAGGTGGGGAAGGCTAGGACTATAACAGGGTTTAAAAGAGAACTAGATACATTCATGGAGGTTAAGTCCATAAATGGCTATTAGCCAGGATGGGTAAGGAATGGTGTCCCTGGCCTCTGTTTGTCAGAGGGTGGAGATGGATAGTAGGCGAGAGATCGCTTGATCATTACCTGTTCGATTCACTCCCTCTGGGGCACCTGGCAGACAGGATACTGGGCTGGATGGGCCTTTGGTCTGGCCCAGTACGGCCATTCTTATGTTCTTAACCCCCGTTCCAGGAATGTGCTAGCAAGGCTGTTTTCACAAGGGCTTTACTATTGACAGCAACCTATACCCCAGCTCCAAGCTTTCAGGAGAAATGCCCAAGCTCATCTCTGGCCCTGGGACTCTCCACCCCAGGAGACATGCTTGTTATAGTAATGGCTCACCTGAGATAGCTTTGTAGTGGTGGCTGGCAGAAGTGGCCGGCTGAACTTCTTCTGAGAACCAATAGCAGCTGGAAACGGTGGAGCCGAAAATACAGCTGCCACACAATTGATTTTGTTGATCCATGCCTGCATTTCTTCTGGGCTCCTGTGGGAGAAAGCCAGAGAGTAATCAGACATCGGAGAGACTTAAGATCTCTCCCTTCCTCCTCGCTGTCAGCTTTATCGTCACAGGGGCATATGAACTCCATGTTAGATCAGCTCTGCAAGCCATCTAGCCCAGTCTCCTACCTCCAGTAGCAGCGAGTGTCAGAAATCTCAAAGGGCAGCCGTATTTGGAGGAAGTTTCTTCTTAATTGCTTCAGATAGAGGTTGGCGTATGTTTGGAAACATCCACTTTGATGACAACCAAAACACTCTCACCCCATAATATGCACATTTCTTTACATTCTCAGTGGCTGAACCATAAACACAGCTGCACCATTAGCCAGATGCCTTCCACAACCAACTACTGAATTGCAGAGTACAAAAGCAGCGACTATCTCCCGATTAAATTTAACCTAAGGAATGGCCCTTGTCTAAGCTTCTACTTTGCCTGCCCAAGACGCAAAATCCTGCCTTCGACCCCACTTTTCCAATCCTTCTCCCCACTTCTTACTACGCAACTCCTTCTGCACTTCTCAACCAACCCAGCCTCTCTAGAACACTCACTGTAGTGCCGGGCTGGGACCCATAGCAAAGATCCCCAAGATCTTCAATCAAAGTCTGTAACATGCTATTCAAAATTGCATGGACAGCGCTACTCATTGAGGAATAGAAGGCGTTGGTGATGGGGGGAAAGTTAAGCAAAGTATAGAGGAGGGTATAGACCCGGGTTGGAGAAAATCATGCACATGCAAGTAAAACGTGTCTGTTTTCCATCTCTTCCAGCTACGGCCCTGATCCTGCAAAGACTTTCACACATGCTTATCTTTAGACATCGTCAGTAATCCCACTGAAATCCCACTGCATAAGGACAAGCATCAATCTTGGCAAGATACAGGCAGAAAAGGTGTGAAAATCATCCTCAGAAGAACATAGAATCATAGAACAGTAGAACTGGAAGGGGCCTCGAGAGGTCATCAAGTCCAGTCCCCTGCCCTCACAGCAGGGCCAAGCACCATCGAGACCATCCCTGACAGGTGTCTGTCCAACTGGCTCTTAAATTTCTCCAGTGATGGAGATTCCAAAGCCTCCCTAGGCAACTTATTCCAGTGTTGAACCACCCTGACATCAAACTAAGGCTCTTGGCAGGATCTTGTCTGTCCAGTAATCAACAGAGAGAGACCAGAGCTCACCTCTGTACCGTGTGCTCCCAGCCACACCTTGTTACTTCTTCTACCTAACGGGACACAGGAGACTCCAGCTCTTTTCACTCTTGAATTCAAGGGCATGCCTGGGGCTCATTTACCCAGCGCTGCAGTGCAAACCAGGGGCTGTGTGATTTCTAGGGTGTGCTCACGTTGTGCACTCATGGCCCCAAGTAGACCCAGCTGGCATGCCCCAACAAGGCAGCCAAGTGCACGCGATGTAGCTCTGTTTGAAATGGGACTACGTCAGCACGAGGTAGGTACCTTTCAGAGCACTCCAGCCGGGTCTACACGTAACAGGTGGAGTGCCACCCGTTACAGCAGACACACTACGGCTCGCCATGCCCGGCACTGGGTCGCCTTGCTGTCGGGTGACCTGGTGACCAGTGGGGTGTACTCCATGCGCTACTCCACCCAGACCACTGACTCCACATTCCCATTGGCCAATTCCCAGTCCTTGCCTGCGGGTGAGAGCAGCACACAGAGCTGCTTGTGTGCCTCTGCCTAGGAGCCAGACCTGCTGCCAGCCGCTTCCAGGGCACAGCGGGGTCTGTGGTGCCAGGAGAGGCAGGAACCTGCCTTAACATCCCCACCGCACCCCTGACCAGGAGCTGCTGGAAGTAAGCCCCTCCTACCCCAGCCCTGAGCCCCCATGAACTTTGAGCCCCCTCCTGCACCCCAGCCCCCCCAATTCCTCTCCCCCTGCCCCTCCCCCAACCTGCACTCCCGTCAAAAGACAGAATTATGTTGGGTCATGGGCATCAACCATTTTTTTTAAATGGGGTCATGAGGGAAAAAAAGGGGGGGGGGTAAAAAGCCAGTGGACTTCTGCAAAGCAGCTGCGACGACATAAACGTATCAAAGCAAAAGAGTTTGGATTTTCAACGCCGAGTGCTCCACGTGGCAAGTAAAGTTGCTAGCAAGGGGTTGCAAATACAGAGCTACACTGCTCTCCTGGATTTGCTGCCTTGTTACTTGTGATGCAGCTGAGGCCCCAGGCTATGTCATCAGACAATCTAGAGTCAATTTCACTGTATGTTCTAAGGCCTTGAGCGCGTGTTCTGCTTCTCGGAGGCCGACTCCTGGGACCTCATGATGCCTCACGGACCTCTGAGGTCAGATCTACCATCGAAGAGCAGAACTCAAGCAGAACAGCTTTCTTAAGGCCAGAAGGGACCCTAAAATATAATAATATAACTGCTCATTTACACAGGCCTCAGAACTGTGTCCATTGACTCCTGTCTTGAACCCATTAACTTGTGTGTGACTGACACATCTTCCTGAAAGGCTTCCGGTCCTGAGCTCAAGATAAGATAGGGAGAATCCACCACTGCCTTCCCTCCTCCGTTTGTTCCAGTGGGCACTCACTCTCGCTGCTAATTTCCCATTTGAACTTTCCCTGGCTTTTGCTTCCAGCCACTGGGTTCTCATAATCTCTCTCTCGGCTAGATTAAAGAGCCCTTCAGTGCTTGGTACTCCCACATCCTCATCAAAGTCACCTCTTCATCATCCTTTTGATAAACAGACCGAGTTCCTTTCAAGTCCTGCTTCCCCCTTCAATCGAAAACCTTCTCTGCTCCCAAAGGTTGTGATCTGACCCCTTTCTCTCCATCAACCACCCCAGCCCTAGAAAAACTCAGAGTGAAGGGAACATACGGGGCTTGGAAAAGCAGGACTCTCCAGTCAGCTGTTTTGAGCTTTAGGACGTTGGGCCTCTTCTCATAGTCTGTGGCCTTCGATGCCAACGCATGGTGCATGCTAACTGCATTTTTCAGATCCTCCTCAGACAAAGCCTTCTCTGGCTTATATTCATCCTGCAGTAATTAAAATGAAAAGACAGCACAAGTTACTTCAGCTTGTTCATCTCTTCCTTTAACCGAACAAAGGCAATATCGGCTTGTTCCAGAAAGGGCCGTCAAGAACAATTTAAAAAAAATACCAATTTAACCTAATCTGTCCTTTAAACGGTTCCATTTTCCGCTTTTAAAGTGTTACCTTTTAAGGTCCTTTAATATCTCTGCAAGGAAGTGAAGGAATTCCACCACCTCCCCGACAAGACGAGGGAAGAACGGTAAGTGTCAAGAAGATGATAAATCCTAGAGAGCTAAAGTCCTCAGGGTTCAGAGTCTGAAAGCTGACTTTGGAACCATGTGGTGTCAAACCAGAATCAAGCCCCTGGTGTAAATGAAAAAAAGAGGACTGGGAATACAATCTGAGACACAGCAGTGCTGGCAAGTGAAGCACCAAAGCCACAAGTCAACTAGGGGCTGTGCCTACATGTGCAGCAACATGTGAAGGTGGTCTGGCCAGACAAAAAGGCATTCCAGAGGCATGCCCAGGGACGAGCCATCCCCTGGCAATCCTGCAGTGGTGCACGTTTACACAAAGATGCTTAATGAGAAGCTAAAAACAGCACTTAACCTATATCCATCCCTAACGGGTGACCACATGCTGTTGATCGATTCTGGGGAGTCAGCAAGACGAGGCATGGCTGCCACATAATGGGGAGCTATTGTTTCAGGGGGAGGCAGCAGGAGCTCTGGCAGTGTGTCTCCGTGATTATCAAACACTCCTGGGCTATCCTGCCAGGCAGAGATCTAGTAGGCAGGCCTGCTTTAGGAGCGACAATGCAAGGCACAGCAGTGCTTCAAATGGAGGCCCTGCTAAGGGAACTGACTCATCTGAGTGCCCCGCACTAGAGCGGATCCTGAGCTGGTGTAAACCCACGTGGGAACGCTACGGCTACACAGGCCACTCTGCTATCAGAGCTGCTGCCAAGCCTGGAATTAGAGCTTTCCTCGACTCCTCGCCCTGGGCTAGTTCCCATGTGCTGTCCAGACCTGCAGACCTCCCCCACCTGCCATTTGCAAGAGACACTCAGGTTCTGCTGAGACCTGCAAGGGAGACGAGAGGAGGTCGGAGATTGGAGCAAAAGAACCCCCGAGCGTGGTGTAAGGTGTGTGTGGTCCCCTGCCGTGGCAAGAAGAAAGATGCAGCCTGGCAATGCTTCGTGGAGAGACGCAAGCTTGGCTAAACCTCAAGCATGCAGGGGTCTCGCTCTTACTCAAGGAAGTACCCACTGGATGTTAATGATCTTCCCAGCTGCTGCTATGTCTCACGCATCCCTACTCCCCCCCCCACCATATACACTTCTTGGGAATGGTCACTGAGAAGATGATGGCAAGTCAACTCCAGCAACTATCTGACTCCCTCCAGTCTCCCCCTCCCAAGGGGGCTTCCTCCTGGACAGGCTTGGAGACAGAAGGAACCCTACTAGATCAGCTCGCGGCTTACACCGTCACTGGTTAGGGGCCCCTGTTCACTTCCCTGGAAGCGTTGGCAGGACCCCGTGGAATCTCTTAAAACCAGTTTACATTGTTACTCTCAGAAAAAGTCGTGAGGAGCAATCAACCCCCTCCCTCAGTCCCGTAGGACTGGTGCAGGACACTGAAACCTGGCCTCCTTCAAAAACCCGCACAAACACAGGCCCCCTGAAGTTCCAGGGTATGAATTCAAGTCAGCTGGCTCAAGCCCATTTACACCGAGGAAGCACAAGAGGAGCATATGGGAGGAGCTCGGGCCTCACGCTCACCTATTAATGCAGCGTACACCTCAGTGTCTTACTGAACTTGCCCCTGCTTGGATTTCCAGGTAGCCAGTCAGAAATGCCTTTTCCATCTTCAGCAGACCCAGTTCCCTGTAAGCTGAGCACTTGGGCAGCCACCCAGAAGAGATTCAAATGCCGCCCTACTGATTAGCAGAGCGCCCACAGCCAACTTGCTGTGTTTCTACTGGTGGTGCACACCCACACGTCTCAGTGCATACAACAAAATTTATTCCACCCACTAATGGACAAAATAGAGGGAACATTGCAACAACCTGTGCCTTTCTTAATCTTGTGAACCTCAGCCTGACATTTTGCTAGTTACCAGATCCTGTACAATGGGCGGACATCTTCACTGACTGTGCATGATCACTATAAAATCCTTGTCTTTAGAAGTCCCTGTGAGTCTCCCTGTGCTGCTCCATAGGTACAATCTCTGTCCTTATATACTTTTTTTTTAATCTTGTGTCAGTTTTTTTTTCTTTTTGGTAGTGGAGGAAATGTACACACAGAATACCCTAAAACCCATAGCATTATAAAGATGCTGCGTAACATCACAAAAAACGAGTCCTACTGCAAACAAAACCCAACCCACATAACCCTGCTTGCCTGCACTATTTGTCAAGAAACAACGTTTTATTACATGAAAGCCAGCCCAAGCTCACGTTCTTCCCTTGTCTTGTGCTCTTCTACAGGCATGGCTCATTTCAACTCAGCCTCACGATGAGACTTTGTGACCGTCTCGGTGCCCCTGATTTTCTGTCACCTTGGAACCACAGAGAGCAAGAAATGAAGATGGGCCTCGTGCACAGGCCAGTCCTCAGAAGCGTGCGACATTTCTGGTCTTATATAATCTTGTGCAAATGTACTGAGTTGCCAAATTGCAGTGGTCTCAGGCTCAGCCCTCTGGCCGCCTGACTGCTCATTGATTCAGAAAGCCCCTCTCTCACATCACGCAGTTCATAATGGAATAGGCAGAACAGCAGTTCGCACTGGACCTGCTCTCTTCGGCTCATGCTTACACAAGCGTAACTTGGAGATGCTCCTGTATAGGCAGAACAGCAGTTCGCACTGGACCTGCTCTCGTTCGGCTCATGCTTACACAAGCATAACTTGGAGATGCTCCTGTATTAGCAAATCGTGCAAGAGCAGAATCAGGTCCATACCGCCCTTTGGGAGACGATGTATCTTCCAGTTACTTCGGTAGCCCCTAGAGATCACTGCTGAGATTAGGGCTCCACTGTGCTAGGAGCTGTACAGAAATAGAGCGTCCTGGCCGTGAACAGTTCACAATCTCATCTAACAAAATGTGGGAGGGCACCCGCCCAAGATTCTGCAGCCGCTCTGTGGCGCAGCAGTGCAATTCTCAGAATAACTTCTACGGAAGGCAAGACAAGCAGAGCTCTTCTGGAAGTGAAGATAAACTGTGGACCATTTAGGCTTTTTGCACACTAGCCCATTTGTCAGTGAAACTTCTGTTGTGTAAAAAAAACCCCACCCTGACGGATAACCCCACAAAAGTGACTGTGGGGACCATCCACAGGGCTGGCCCACAGCAGCACAGTTGCAGCAGCACAGCTGTGCTGTTGTAAGGACTGTAGCATAGACATAACCGTCGTGCTGACAACTACAGTTCTGTTTCCAGACTGCAAAATCCCTGTTTCTCCAGAAGCGATGAACTTCTGGACTGAGAGTGGCCATGCTCAGTTTCTCCTATAGGTGGATCCTGTGCCATCAAACCATTTTGTGAAAACACATCACTAGTGACAAAAGTTTTGACTTTCTCCTTTCCTTTCAATATGGCAAAGCCATTTTGTCTCAAGTTTCTTGTTTAGTTTGGACTTTCCTATTTACTGTTTCAGTCCCGTGCAAACTCAAAACAATTACAGTAAACTTCCAATAATCTGGCACCTTTAGGACCCAGGGGGTGCCGGATTATCAGATATGCCGGACTATCGGAAGGGGGGGCTATGAGGGGTCTGGGGTAGAGTGTGGGGGATGGAGGGGCAGCACACCCCGGCTGCTCTGCCCTGGGCGTCCCCAGGTCAGTTGCTGCTGAAACTGACCAGCGGCTGACTCAGGGAGGCCCAGGGCAGAGCAGCTCCAATTGTCCGGCTGCCTGGAGCACTTCTGGGTTCCAGGTGATGCCAGACTAGCAGGGGTGCCGGACCACTGGATGCCAGACAACTGGAGTTTTACTGTAGATGGTTCTGAACTGCAGTTTGGTTCACGGCAGGACACACTAGCATTTTGTGCTGATCGAGAACAAAATCCCTACCCGCCCCCCCAAACGTCAGAATTTCTTGTGGAAAGGAAATTTCTGTTTCTGGCCAGTTCCAAAGCAAACCCTTCCCACTAGTCTCCTCTCAGCCCATGATTAATAGACTAGCTTCTGACAGGTGTCATGGCACGTGAGGGTCTCAAGGAGGGACCTGAAGGAGAAGATGGGAGAGGCCTTCTGCACTGGTCCAGGAAAGAAGGTCTAAACACATAGGTGGCGTGGAAGGCAGCACAGAGATAGGCGTGCAACAAACAAGCAGATGATGTTGTCTTCACTGCTAGGGCAGAGCGTATGAAGCCGCGAATGACAGCAGCGGGCAAGTAGGGATCGGTAGATTGGGGGGGAAGGAGCATCCTACAGACTGGAGATGTGCCAGAGCAGGTCTCGAGAAGCTGGAGGAGGGGGCCCCAATTAAAGGGAGGCTCCAGGAGGAAAGGGGTGGGAAGCCTGGCTTTACTGCCCTGAAAGAAAGCCATTTCTTTTACCTTTTGCAAGTAAAGCACTGTTCCCTTCAGCACCGCGTAGAAGGTTTTCCAGCCACGCTTCCCTCTGGGAGCTAAAGAGAAAACAAACAAATGCAACCCATTTAACTCCAATCCATTTTACCCCTTTGTCTAGGCAACAGGAAGCCTACATTAATTCTGCATCCAACAGCTCTTACGTTCTGCTTTTCAAGGGGAGTGTAACTAGGCAGAGTGCCTGCTTTGTAGCGAGGGCCCAGGGGAAACAAAGCAGCCAAGGTTATAAGCCAGGCCTGGGGCAGCGGGCGACGGAGCTTGTTCCAGAAAACAGCCCCAGTCCAGGTGGCTGTCCCATTCTGCAAGCCTGACCATATGAATGTCAGCCACAGCAGGAGTGGGAGTTGTGTGCCGTACCCTCCCGTGCTATGCAGCATAGTCCCAGCTCCATGCGGTAGCAGAGCAGCACAAGACCACACAGATAGAGAAATGTGGAGGGAACTTCTCCAGCTACAGGCAGGCACCAGCCATCACTGTCACTGCCCCACTCCACAGGGGGCTGCAGACCAAAGCATCCGCCCTCCTTGTGACAGCCGCAAGGAAACCGGGATCACGTTTTCAGCTGCTTCCCCCATCCCCTCTTCCTAGCAGGAGGAGAGGAAATGATGGAAGGCAATGAAAATCCCAGAAAACTCCTGTATGAAACTGGTGTTAAGGCTGATGGACCAGACAGGTGAAAACTAGGGCTGTTAGAAATCGGTATTTCAATAATCGTGTAACTGCTAAGAATTTTAGCCGTTACATGATTATTTGGTACCCCACCCCCTGGAGCACTCCCATCCCCACTCCCAGGGAGCCCCTTGCTATCTCTCTATCAGAGGCAGCAGCACAGGGCGGCGGCAGCCCATCCATGGGTGGGGGGGCAAGATCTCTTGCAGACAGAGGCTGCTTCAGCATCCCACAGAGCAGCCTCTGTCCATGAGGAGCTCGGGCCCCCTGTGGACATGGGCTGCTGCCACCCCATACTGCTGCCTCTAACAGGCGGCAGGCAGGAGCCAGTTTTTAAACCAGTTCCCACCTGCTTCCCCGCGCTGCTGCCTCTGTATCAGAGGCAGCAGCATGGCGTGACAGACAGCTCCTCAAGTGCTCTTCATTTAAATCTCAAGCCAGCGGGCTGGGACTGAGCCAGCCTACTGATCCGAGTTTTAAATGAAGAGCTCTCGGGGAAGAGGGGATTTGATGTGGATAATCGGTGTATTAACCATTTAACGGCTACTCAGTGGACATCCCTAGTGAAAACACAATAAACTTGTAATTTTCCCCAAACCAGGGAATTCAGAGTAAAAGCTACACTGCAAAGACACTCACACATGTTAAGGGGTAAAAACGCTGTTTGTAGAGTCATAGAACTTAAGGCTGGAAGGGAGCATTAGATCATCTTGTCTGACCTGCATAACACGGGCCATAAAATTTCATCCCATTACTCTCGGCTAAGCCTAATCATTTGCATTTGACTAAGGCACAAATTGTGATTGCCCAGGAAGATGCCCAGTCTTGATCTGAAGACATCAAGAGACGGCGACATCCCTGGGGAACTTGTTTGACTGGTTAATCGCCCTCTTGGTTAAAAACGTGTGCCTAATTATTTGACTTCAGCTGCCAGCCACTGACTCCTTTTATACCTTTTCTGCTAGAATAACTGCTTTTTAGTATCTGGCATTTTCTCCCCTGGAAGATACTTATACTCCGTATGAGTACTCTCACCTTGCTAAGATTCCCACAGAATCTTAAACTTGGCCTTGTAATGACTCCATGAGAAAAATAAACATGAAACACTCTCAAAAATTAGTTTAAGCTTGCCTGGGATTACAAAACCTAAGGGGAAAATGTTTCAGAAGTGTCTAAGTGATTTAGGAGATGAAGCCCCACTGATTTTTAAATGGGATTTTGGCTACTAAATCATGGAAGCCATTTTCAAAATGTCCGAAATGCCTTAATCCTGTGCCTGGTTATCACATACATGCTAGCCTTCAGTCCGTTAAATAATATTGGTTTGATTAAGCAAGCAGCGTGACAGAAGCTACCACATCGTTCTTCTGTAGTAAGACTGGCTAACGGGAGTGGATGCCGACAGCAAAGCTGTAGTGGGATGTTGGTAAAATAACTCAAAGCCACTGCTCGGAACTTGTTCAGGATGTGAAATTTAAACAATGAGGCAACCTATCGGTTAATAACAGTCAGGTCACCTTGATTTCAAAAGCACCCAAATCAATTCACATTGGGGCTCCAACTGTGAAAATATTGACCTTTCACGTTTCGGTTTTGAGACATCCTGGCAGAATACAGAAAGGGCAGCCAACGTCAGATTCTTGCACACAGTTGGGGGAAAAAAAAGAGTAGCATGTATTTATAGACCATAAAAAGTCCAATTTTGTTGCCATTATTAATCCCAGCAATTGTAATATGAGCGAACTCCACATATACATGAACAATCAGGAGAGCACAGATGTTTTCAGTAGTCACTGCAGTTTTCAACCATATCAAATTGCATGTGCACAAATACATGTCCCACCCCCAAAAGCCCTACATGTGCCCTCCATAAATGCAGCCACACTTAGTTGCACAAGTGTTGTGAATAAGGGGCCAAAAGGTACCAAACAACATCCTATCTCTGAGTGGATGCAAGGTCTAATTTGAACAAGAGCATTATACATCATTATCAAGGAACGACCGACTAGATTACAGGTTTTTCAGAAAGGCCAGTGGTTCTACAGGGATGGGCCAATCCTTAGATTCTCATTTGGGGACCATGACAGCCTAGGGGAGTAGCAACCAGGTGTTTCCAAGGGTCAGGACCATTCTTCCCTTCTGCATGAAACATTTCTTTTGTAACTTGGAATCACAGGTGGCAAAAGTTGAGATCTCCTGGGCTAGCCCTGGAACAGAATCTACGGTACTTCCAATCAAACTGTTTTGAGTTTTGTGAACAATGCTTCATTTTCTTTAAGCACAAAAGATACATCTTGGAATCCGATAAGACATTTTTGTTACACAAATGCTACGGGGAATGGAATAATCCTCAAAATGGCCCTAGAGTTTTCTTTTCTGCTGTGATAATCAAATCACTAATGGAATAATCCTCAAAATGGCCCTAGAATTTTCTTTTCTGCTGTTATAATCAAATCGCTATTTTGGTTGTTATGCCTTCAATAGCCTGGAGGTAGCAGAACTATCTATGGGCACAAACTACTGGTGGGTGTAGGGGGGTACCTAAGAGAGGAAAAAAAAACATAAGATGCTCACTCTTTTTTCCATCCATATCTGCATGGATTTTCCGAGCCAGAAATCCAGTTTTATACACAGCAGCATTGGGGTCATGAGGAATATCCAGGAAGGGGTTATTGGAATGGCCGATCCGAGTGATGGCCTTTGAATGGGGCCCGTTATCCTTCTCATCAGTACCGTCTGAGTGAGGTTTTTTTTTCTCCTCTTCATCTCTAAAAACAAATGAACACAACAAAGTTTAGGTGACAAAGCCAGCACCCAGCACCATTACCCAGCAAGGCTTCATCTCCTTAATTTCTGCACATGCTTTATTTTCCCTCTTGAGTAGGGTATTCTTATCAGCATTTCTTTAACTACGGGCTTGATCTAAAACCCACTGAAGACAGTGGGACATCTCCCATTGGCTTCCATACGTTTTGGATCAGGACCTCTGGATCAGCAAAGTATTTAAGCCCAACCCTTGTCTCGAAACATTTTGACAAAAAGCCATTTTCTGCTGACATAACTTGTATGCGGAACATTTTCAGCCAGCTCCATTTGTAACCAACCATTTCTACTAGGGATGTTAGCAAGTAGTCAAATAGTCGCCTACCCGATAAGCCTAGGCTTAACAAGTACTTGAGTCCACTACTCGCAATCCCCCCCACTTGCTGCCTCTGCATCAGAAGCAGCAATGGGGAGGGAGGGGAAGCAGGAGCCGGTGCTGTGGGGAACTGGCTTTTAGTACCATCTCTGCAGTGCTACCTTCTCCCCCACCCCCAATGCTGCTGCCTCTATCAGAGGGCTCAGGCTTGCTGCGGGCAGAGGCTGCTCCTCCACATCCTGCAGAGCAGCCCCTGGCTACCAGGGGTCCTAGCTTCCCGCTGGGATCCTCTGTGGACAGGGGCTGCTGGACCTGACGCGAGCTGGGACTGAGCAAGCTTGGCTCAGTCCCGGCTTCCATCAGAACCAGGAGCTACCCCCCACTATGGCTCTGCAGTTTAAATACAGTAAGAGATGGGCGGGCGGGCAGCCCAGCTCCTACTACATTTAAACAGCAGCGCTTCAGTGGGGGGAAGAGGGGGAGTGTAATTCCTAGAAGCTAACTCCCTTATCGACTAGAAATTCTATCGACTGCACGATTAGCTGATTATTCGTTCCCTCACATCCCTGGCTTCTACAATCCACAGCTGGCCAGATCGTAGGGAAGTCACCGAGTGAGAACTGCAGCAGGGTCACACTTTCGCGTTTGAAGAGACTGCTTCCCCCTTCCTCACCCATGAGGAGACATGGAGAAAGCAATCCCATGGCAAGTGGATCGCTTTAGCAAAGGAAAGAAGAAACGAATGCTTGAAATCTTTGTATTTGCGAGGTCCAGTTACAGAGATCGGCACCACGGCTAATGTTTGCAGCCAGTCTGTCCTGCGGCAGACCAGCCCCCTCGCCCAGACCCCAGCTCCATGACTAGGGGGAGTAACAGGAGACCGCAGGTCCCAAACCCCGTCCTGGAACAGTGGCTAACAGGAAGCCTGTGAGAACCAGAATGTAAAGGAGGTAGTTCTTGTGGAGGAGGAAATCTCTAGACTGTGTGTGGAGGAGGATCACACAAGCACAACGGCAAGGCAGATTTCAGAAAAGAATGGCAACTCTGCTTTACAATACCATGGATTTCAGCATGATTAACAATTTGTACTATCATAGTGCTTCATAGCCCTAGAAGGAGACCAGGATCCCACTCTACCAGGCACTGTTACAATTCTCAATAAAGTACATTCAATTTGGGGATTTTCCTTTTCCCCAAAAGGAATAAATTCTCTGTCACAATTTCACTTTTTTCCCCTTGGTGGGGTCATGTTTTTCTGTAGACTCCAGAACGAACCCAGATGCTCCCAACCTTATTAAAGATAAAAGTTGTTTCACTAAGCAGATCTAAAGTAACCTACACAGCCCTGCTTTCAAAAAGGCTGTACAGATACTGATCATTTGAATGCAGCACATGGTTTTGCCAGCATCTTCCTCAGTGAACAAATTCTTCAAGCCTGCCTATTATATATTGCGTCCCCATTTACCGTATTCTACACTCTAATTCTTAATTCTCCTGCCTGCATAGGAGAGCAAACCTACTTCTTACAAACAAGACAGAGAATGTTGTTCCCAGTGCTCCCATCTAAATATCATGCAAATGAAACATACTTCACTTAGATTATTCCAGGCCTGAAAGGGATCAAGTCAAGCTCAGTATCAGTCTCCACTCTGGAGCTGGAAAGGAGCTGTCTGATTCAAAGGGCAGAAGGGAGCATTGCAACCACCTGTTCCTACCTCCCGCAAAGCGCCAGCCACGCAAATCATTCCCATCTGGCCCAACCACTAATCGTCGATATTAGGCAGTGACGGTAAGTCTAACTTCCCAATACGAATGTACACACAGCTGACCCTCCCCCAGGGACACCGGAGACCCAGAGGGGAATTTAATTCTGTAGAAGGATGGAAATTTACATACCAGTTCTTGGGCCAAATTTATCCCACATGCAACTCTGCTCACACCAGTGAGTCTCCCCCCTCCCCCCCCCCCCCGGGATTAACTGCGTGAAATCCCGGCTCCACGCAAGACACTGGGAGACTTGCTATCGACTTCACTGAAGCCAGGATTTCAGTCATAGTCTTTGCCACATTTCTGTTGCTCCCCCAGTCCTAATAAACAAGGCTGCCTAGAGCCCCAGCACAGCAATGGCTCCACTTTTCAGGAAGCATGAGGCAGAGACTGTATAGTCTGACTATCTTCCACTTCCCTTCAAAGCACAAAGCAAACATCTATCACAGCTAGAGGAGATCCAGATGCCTACGTGCACAAGCACAGGTTAGGAATGAAGACAGTAATCTGGAAACACCAGCTCTGAGTTCTATGCAGACAAGTAGAGTAAGGTTGCACCTCTAGAAACCGGGACTCTCTGGTCCGGCAATGGATATTCCTGCAGGAGATGGAGGGCTCCAGAAGCCGGCCTGATGAAGGGGTGAGGCAGGAGGCCAGCACGCGGCCCAGCTGGGCTACCCAAGGATCCAGAAGCTGAAAACCTTCATGGAGGTTAGGTCCATAACAGGCTATTAGCCAGGGGATAAAATGGTGCCCTTGGCCTCTGTTTGTCAGAGGATGGAGAGCGACAGCAGGAGACAAATTGCTTGATCATTGTCTTTGGTCCATCCTTTCTGGGGCACCTGGTGCTGGCCACTCTCGGCAGACAGGATACTGGGCTAGATGGACCTTTGGTCTGACCCAGTACGGCCGTTCTTATGTTATGTTCTTATGTTATGCCACACTGCTGGGGAGAGGGGGCAGCTGGCACACTGTTCAGCTGGGCTGGGGACGGAATCCAGGAAGGCCGGTGTGCAGCCCAGCTGGGCTGTGCAGAGTGGGCAGTGGGTGAGGAGGGCTGGAGGGGGAGCAGGCAGAAAGCTCGATGCATGACCCAGTTGAGCTGCCTGGGGGAGCCAGCAGGGCAGCAGGGAGGCCAGAAATGACCTCCTTGATCCGGCAAAATCCTGAGGGTGCCGGACCAGGGAGGTCCAACCTGTAAAACAGTATTTCATGCAGGAAGAACTAAGGAGCAGATAAAACACAGAGAGACTCTTTCCTGACGGCATTCTTCTTTGAAAAGCAATTGTAAGAAGGAAAGGAAGATTCCGAATCCCAAATGTATTGGCTCCCAGGGACTTCCAGATTGGAGCTGCATACATTGCAAATCACAAGCGATGGGGCATCTCGACAGCTTACAGACGTGCAATCGGAGCTCAGTTAGCACGTGTCTGAGGGTACGTGAGAAAGAACAGATTCCCACGGCTGCACCTACTCTGCCCTGCTGGGAGGAGTTTAGCAAAAGGCTTTGGCTACTAAGTGAAGCATCCGTGACTTGGAACACACACGGGAGGGGTGAGATGAATACAGTCACGCTGCTTCTGTCTACAGCTTCAACCATGAAATTTATAGGAGCTCTTGCATGAACTTCAATGGCCTGTGGATGCAGCCCTGTGGCTGCGCTATAAACAGCATCACGGACAGCAAGCCTTTGAGGATGACGACAGGTCTAGCCAGCCACGTGCGATAAAGGAGGAGATGAAGATCATGTAGCAGTCCTCCATAGATCATTTATCTTCGTCTTACCCTGCTCTGCCGCAGGGCTTTCAGCCACCATGTAACAATGGCTGTCAAAGCTCTGAAACCTTCGTTTAGCCCTTCAACATCTTCAACGACTGAAGGGACTCGGATCAGGTGAACAGCATTTCTCCAGATGCATTATTTTAGATCAGAACTGCCGTTCGAGAGACAAGTCCTGCAATGTTTACCCCAGAGAGACTCCTCTCAAGACCCCTCTGAGACTTGCAGGGATCTGGGCACGTCACGTTCCGAGACAGAAAAACGTTTGCTTCACATAATGGCTGTCCACTTCCAGAGGATTGCCTGCACGGATGCTTATTACCTGTCCACTAGGGATGTGATGCTTTAACTAGTTATCCAGTTAACCAGGAAGCCTTAATGGGTAAGGCTTACTGGTTAAGGTTAACTGATGGGGACTGGAGCAGCTCCCCGCCTGCCCCATAGGTAGAAGCTGCTCCAACAGGGATGCCGGAGAGCCACGGCCCTCCGTAGACAGGAGTGGCTCCAGACAATATGTTTAACCAGTTAGCCAATTAAACGGGATTTTACATCCCTACTGTCCACCTGTCTCTCTATTCCAAGTTATAACCGATTCTCGGTTGAACAGAGAGAGCTGAGCGTTGGCTTGTGATTCCTCGGATGAGGACACAAGGATACAGAGGGGGTGCCAGGAGCCCCACTGGACTGCACTCTCCAGGAAGCAGCGCTACCCTATTGAGGGGTGGTGGACGTATCACTAAGAATGTAGAGCCACGGAGGCAGCATCTCAAAGAGACACAGCTCCTCTGGGGTGTAATCCTCTTTAACCCCCAAGTCCACTACTCAGCATGGGCATCAGTCTAGGACAAATCTTGCTGTCAAAGAAATGATGGGAAAATGCCGATTAATCTGGCTGGAAACGGAAGCGGTCTCTTGTATTCAGCACTGAGTTCTGATGAAGTGTTAGCTTGTCAAAAGCAGATTCGGGGGGAAGGGGCAGGAAGAGGTGAGGGGAGATTGGCCTCTTCTGTATTAAGTCTCTTTAGTATTAGGTTGTCCAATTCTCCACACTTAATTCAAAGACAATACCAGAGAACCAGCCCGGCACAGGAAACTCAATCCAAGACTTGTGTTTCTATTCAGTGGTTCCAACACAATACACTGGAAGATAAAGGAAGAAACTCAACATCTGTTTTATTTATGCACTCGCAGACCAGAAGGAGGATTTAGATTTCTGCCTTGTGAAGCTGACATTTCCCACTGAATTAAAAGTCTCCCTTCCTTGCAGATATAGCCAGTTTGCATCCTCCGCAAACTTTCCTCACTGAAGGAGAAGGGGGAATCGAACGGGGAATTTTGCTAATGGAAGAGTCAATCCAATGTCTGAGTCTCAAGGTTCCATTCACAGTGCAAAGTGTGGAGGAAATGGATTACCACGCCAGCGGCTGATTTTTCAGCTCATGAATTCTGCACGGGATACTTACACTGCCCAGTCAAGCTTCTCATTCTTGATCGAATTGTAGAGAGCCTGCAAGGAGAAAGAAACAAGAGGGGATTAATGTTTGGACTGTCATCTATTTTTCAAGGTACCAATGGAAAAGGTCCAACTACCAGCAGCAAGCGAGTTGCCGTTGAACAAGAAGGAGCCTTCGCCACGCATGACAACTCAGACTTGCAGAGGAGGAAGAATACTGGTCACGGTTGAACACAAATTTTAGGATATGGGGTCTGAGATGTCAATAATTCTCCAGGGACAGGACCATCTGATACATTTTTTGTGTGTACAATTTTGGTTTTGAAATATCACTCAAGCTTCTGAAATGCAAGAAATTGTAAGATCACAGTATGGCATCTGGGTCATATCCTGGCCCTACTGAAATCACTGGGAATTTTGCCACTGGCTTAAAGTAAGCCAAGCTTTCACCCCTGGTGAAATTTATTTAGCTATCTGTGGCAGAATAGCTCACCTGTGACATACATCAAAAATCACTGAGCCTCAAACACACTTTCATGCTTCCATCAGAGGTGCGTACACAAAAGCTCCATAAAGTGTTTGGTTTCTCTGTGCAACGTAACTTGATTAAATAAACTGCAAATATCTTGTACAGTTGAGGGTAACAGTCTACTCTTGCTGTAGTACTAAGGGTCAGGGTCTTTGCCATTGAAAGTTCCAATTCTTTTGGTCTACTGTGGCAAATCTTTACACAGTGGTAGCCTGTCGGGGAATTTGAACTCCTGTGGATATCTGATAGTTGGAATGAGCTTCCAAAACAGTGTGCATACTACACTGGCTACATGAGACCAATCAGATCTCCCTAACTTGGCTGATCCATATAGTGGATAACAGCCTACTACTGCTAAGAGCTAGTGGAGTAACTCCTTTAATTCCAGTGGTCAAGGCCTTTATTTCTGGTAGTGAAATGCCCCAAGTTCTAGCCCAGCACATACCCCACTCTTGAGCTCTTTACACACACAAGCAGATTTACTCCCCCTATCAGCTCATTCCTACCCCTCCCCCACAACTCTGTTAACGAAACTTGAAACCAAGACAGACTATTATACACATGATTAGCAAAACACAACACACCACCTGTGAGCAAATACGGAAATCACCGGCTAACAGTATGCAACAATAGCATCTTTGATGCACAATTCAAATATGCACACCAGCAAACAAATTCCTACTGACCCAGATGTCCTTAACTCCGATCCCCAAACCAAATCACTTAAAATTAGAACTGTGTGAATAATGATTTTTTTTGGTTCACTGTCATATCCAAAACCACCCCCCAAAAAATGTGGTCCAACCAAAAAACAAAATGTTTCAAAATTTTCAACTAATTGAAAAGTTAAAAAAAGAAAATTCCAGTCAAACAAAACATTTTGTTCAACCCAAAATGAATGTTCATTTTAAGCATTTTTTAGCCCTTTAAAATAAGATTAAAGGGTGCTTCAAAATAAAAGTTTCTTCACACTGAAAAAAAAATTCAAGGTATATTCTCTTGGCAATGCTGAAATGGCACATTTCAATTAGTTTGGATTTTTCCACCCCCCTGCAATCAAAACAATTTGGCAAAACTGACACATTCATAAAATGTTTCTCCACAAATCTGCATTTTCTGCCCCCAAAATTGTTTAAATAAAAAAAAAAATTAGCCTAGCTCCACCTAGAACTAAAAAGTCTAACCCAGAATCTTATCCGCCCTCGTACAACTCACAATCCCACAGCCCTGAACTTGGAGTGAGAGCCTCGTGGGCAGGTCTCAGAAGCCACACTGAACTCCACCCGCTGTGCTGGGAGCCTCTTGTGGTTCCCACTGCAGGATGAGGGCCTTAATACTTCACTCTTATTCATAGAAAAAAAATGGTGAGAACTCTGGCCTTGAATTCCACCACAGGTCAAACAAAGAGACTCTCACCAGTCAGATCTCCTCCAATGCCATGTACCGCTGTGGAGCGGTTACTAGCACCTCTCAGCCATTGTGCAACACAATTCCTTGTGCCCACGGTGGCACAAACATCGCCCAAGAAAAGGCTAGTGGATGCATATGCTAGGCCAGATACAGCAGCACTTGTGAGCTACATTCAGTGAAGACACACACATTGAAGATTGTGATGTCCAAGGATCTAGTATTGGAGTAACTTCTGCCCCCTCCGCGGGCCTCGCACAGGGGTAGGCAACCTGCGGCAATGCGGCCCACAGGGCTGCCAGATGCTGCTGGTCTCCGTCCACAGAGTTATTTTGCTACCGGTGTTAGTAACGCAACGTGCACACAACGCCAGGGCACATGCAGCGAGGCACGTGCTGATTGCACTCAGCACTGACTGGGAGAGCCATGCGCTCCCCCTGCCTCCAAAGCGCTGCTGCGGCTCAGTCCGCGCACCCCGCACGTTCCAGGCAGGCAGGCACAGTGAGCAGGACTACCCTGTCCCGGGAGACCCTCTTGGTTATGACACTCTGGCTTGGGATGGCAGAATCCGTTGTTACAGGCTGGGGACCGACTGGCTAGGTAGCACTTCGGCAGAAAAGGACCTGGGGATTCCAATGGATGAGAAGCTGGATAGGAGCCAACAGGGTGCCCTGGTTTTGGTCCCACCCCACTACAGAAAGGATGTGGATGCATTGGAGAGAGTCCAGAAAAAGGCAGCAAAAATGCTGAGGGGGCTGGAGCACATGACCTATGAGGAGAGGCTGAGGGATTTGGGTTTGTTTAGTCTGCAGAAGAGAAGAGTGAGGGGGGATTTGAGAGCAGCCTTCAACATCCTGCAGAGGGGTTCCAAGGAGGATGGAGAGAGGCTGTTCTCAGTGGTGGTAGATGGCAGAACAAGGAGCAATGGTCTCAAGTTGCAGTGGGGGAGTCTAGGTTGGATATTAAGAAGAACTGTTTCCCTAGGTGGGTGGGGTAGCACTGGGATGGGTTCCCTAGGGAGGGGTGGAATCTCCATCCCTAGTGGTGTTTAAGTTCTGGCTTGACAAAGCCTTGGCTGGGTTGATTTAGTTGGGGTTGGTCCTGCTTTGGGCAGGGGGCTGAACTCGATGCTTCCTGAGGTCTCTGCCAGTCCTAGGGTTCTATGATGGAGGACCACTCACACGGCCCACTCACTAGGCTTGGTTGCCCATCACTGCTCTAGTAGGGATGCAGTGGGGAAGAGAAGCAGCATTTCCCAGTAGGTAGGCACCTGGCTAGGAGTCAGCAGATCTGGGTTCCATTCCTACCTCTGCTACTGACCTGTTTGGTGACCTTGGGCAACACACTTCACCTCTTTCTCAATTATTCCAAAGGCTTAAACCAGCGGTAGGGCCTATAGAGTTTGCCTTCCCCATTTCAACTGGCTCTGGCTTTGGGTTGGTACAGGGACTAGTATGGGGGTGCCACAGTCTTGTGTTGTGACTCTGTGCTACTCCAACTCAATAAACAACAGGTTAGGGTTACCTGCAGTGTTGCTTGAAGTGGCAGCAGATCATTCACAACTGTGTTCGCTGCACCTGCAAACCCTCATTCTGCCAAGTCTCCCTCGTGCATGGCAGGCTCACGCCCAGTTCACCAGGTCTCGTGCTTAGCCCCGTCCAACAAAGCACACAAAACCGCAGAAACGGAGTGAGACGAAACATTCATTCAACACGGGGAGGCGGCTGCAGGATGGGGCACTGGGCCAGGACCTGGGAGAGCTGGCTTCTGTTCTCAGCTGGGCCACACACCTGCTGTACGGCCCTGTCCAAGTCCATGCTGGGCTCTGCCCGCTGGGCACATCCCCTTCTGCACAGGTACTGAGAGGCAAAACAGCCATTAGCGACTGGGCAGCGTTCAGATGCTACAGCGACAGAGCTAGAGGGAGTCTTTCAATCTCCGCTCACCACAAAGGCTCTTCCTTAAAAAGCGTCAGCGCTGCCATACGCCATGTTCTCTCAGTATCTGCAGAGCTCGTGGCATGTGCTCGGGGGAATCAAATAACTAGCGAATATCGAGGCAGCAAACGAGTTTTTAAGTGTATGCGACACATTTACATGCTGTGAGCAAGGACCAGGGAACTGAGCAGAAGGCAAGGGTGTAGGTCGCCCATTCTCTGGGCCAGCTGCTTTGCATCAGTAAATCCATCTTAAAATGTATCAGCTTGCTGAATCAGGCCCCAGGAGATTCCTTCTGGTCATAAAGCCACCTCCCAATATTTGAAAGCCAATGGCAGATCACCGCACACAGCCCGAGGGCCCACACTGCCATCTTACGGCTACGCTGGAAGGCCCCGATTCAGAGCGACACTCTTAAGCATATGATCAAATCAACGGGATTTAACCACATGCTTAAGTGCTTTCCTAAATTGGGGGTGTAACTGATCTGGATACCAAGAGCGACATGATTTTGGCTGGCAGTTTGCTAAACATACGGGAGGTTTGTGTCAGCTTGACTCTGAGCTCTCGGAAATCATCTTCAGGGTATTCAAAAACAACAGCATTTCTACTCTGTCACGTCTGCACTTAGCTGACAAAATTACAGCTCCTCTGCCGCAAGGATGGGAAAAGGCAGGGCTTGGAAAATTTGCCAGACACCCCAGAGAATTGTCCGTTTCTTCTCCACCCTCCAGAGACTCAGGGTTTCTGAAAAGGGAAAGCACCAAATCTATTCTCTTTCCCCTTAGCCCTCACCTACCCCAATCAAAGTTTGCTCTGCCCCTCCTAGAACCTTGGTTGCCTGGGTCCCTTCCAAGCCAACACCTATCTCTGCTGCGGCCCCAGGCTTTCCCAAGTGGCAGCCGAGGTCTGAGGTTAACATTCATGAAGATGAGAGTTTCATCTGGCAAGTGAACCCTGCTGAAACCCTAATCCTCTCCTCACGTCATGGGCATTTTTTGACACGCTCTGCACAGACATAAGGAGGCTGGCTGACTGCAGATTCAGGAACGCAGCGCTATCAGTTTATATTTAGTTCCTGTTTTAGCTAGAAACTTACAAAAACCTGAAGCCTAAATTCTGCAGAAATCGGTAATCTAGTTCTCTTCCCTCTCCCCGCCCCACTGTAACTGGCAGAGAAA